GACGACTCTACATGTTTCGACGTTACATGAGGATGACCTTGTAACGTCGAAACATGTAGAGTCGTCAATTTTTTGAAGGCCATAGATAGGCCTAAATAAAATTGTGTACCAGTTTAACGTTGAATATTATTTATGATTTTAAAGTAATAATTTGTTACACCTGGCAGATTCAGAATGCTGAGCTCTCATCTTTGAGTAAAATTGAGCTTCAATCTCTTCTTTATGAGTCTTTCTAAGTTAAGACACTAAACATTTATAATGTGTTACACTTCTTTAAAAGGGAAAATTTTTAGTGACATCGGTAATCACCGAAATAAACTGTAATATTTTATTAACCAATGTAATGTTCGTAGTAGTCGTTATCGGTTAAGTCATGTGTGTTTTCACACAATCTTTAAAAACACCGCATTTCATAATAGTTCGGTGATTACACGTGAAATCGTCTAAGTTCCCTGAAGTGTAAGAGCAGATTTCGTGGGTAAATTACTTTTGTACATCCTTAAGTGTCTTCTAGATTCCTGTATTAAGATATACATTCCTTTACCTAATCAGACAATATTAAACATCCGAAATTTACATTACGTTACAGATTAATAAGATAATTCGTTTTTGCATTTGGCACTATAATAACGGCCAAATATACAACCGTTATTCGGAATTTTAGAATTAAGTGCCGTATTAAGTGCCGTATTTATCTTAATATTAAAGAGATGCACTTGATATATTTATGTATCAATGGTTAACAATGATATTAGCTCGACATGGCCAGGTGGTTAGGGCACTCGACTCGCAATCTGTGGGTAACGGGTTCGAATCCCCGTCACACCAAACATGCTCGCCCTTTCAGCCGTGGGGGCGTTATAATGTGACGGTCAATCCCACTATTCGTTGATAAAAGAGTAGCCCAAGAGTTGGCGGTGGGTGGTGATGACTAGCTGCCTTCCCTCTAGTCTTACACTGCTAAATTAGGGACGGCTAGCGCAGATAGCCCTCGTGTAGCTTTGCGCGAAATTCAAAACAAACAAATAAACAATGCTATTTTCTGTGCTAATTTTTTCAGTTAACAATGCAATTGTAAATACGCGGATGTTATTCTGAAATGAAGATATCAGTGATTATAAATATGTCGAACATTTTGAAAAATACTAGATTTGGTTTAAAGCATGATTCAATTATATTTAATTCTGTTTGTTATTTATTAAGTGGTCTACTCTTTAGTAGCTCGGCGATAAGCTTGAGGGCTTATAACAGTAAAATTCGGGAGTCAATCCCTGCTGGTAGCATAATGCAGATAGCCGCCCATTGTTCAAATATGCATTTAAGTAAGCTAAACGATCTAACAGAATGTTGAATAATTCAAATGATGTTGCTGTTGTTTGTTAATAAGCAAAAAGCAATACAACGGACTATCTGTTCTCTGCACACAACAGGTATCGAAACTCGGTTCTAGCGGTATAAGTCCGCAGACATACCGCTGGGCCATTAGGGGGCAATCAAATTATTATTCATGGCACCGAGAGGAGGGGAAGCGCTGTTCAACTTTGTCAGTGAGATTTTGGCTTTGAGAAATTTGGTCAGTACTGTGCAATTATAGCCCTATAGTATAACATACATTACTGGCTACAACATTGAAAATGGATCAATACATGTAGCGCCTCTCCCCTTTAAAAATATCGGAGGAGAAATTATTCCATTCTTCCTGGTAGTAACACCTGTGAGAATACGCATAGTTTCATAAAGAATCTGATAAAATGTGTTTATTATGTTTTGAATGTATTTTTAAACACTTCAAGCATGTTTCTTTCCAATACTGTTCTTGTAGCTTCACAGCAGAAACGTTTCTTTCTTTTTTTAGCGATTGGACAAAAATAAAGATGGCGTGGTTACTTTTGATGAGTTTATGGACACCTGTCTGAAGGTTAGCATAACCTTTTATGTTTTTAATTAATTTTGAATACAGATATAAACAGTGATATTTAATGTTCGTTTAAGTCATAATAGTTAAGTATAAGTTAAGAAAGAATTTAATTATCAAGATTTCGCTATTGCTAATATTAGTTTTAGTTTCATTTTGACTATGTGCAGAAATGATTCTGGATTTTCGTGAAACATATGTGCTCAGTATACTAAGCCGCTGAAAACAAATGTTTAAAAATCAGTAAACTACTTACTAATAAATAAACTCACTAAGAAACCACTTATTAATAGTGTTAATAGTCTTATTTATTACTTCTTAGTATGTTGTCAAATATTCTAAACGGATACACAAGGAAAGGAGTCAATCTTTGAACTCTTTATAGTGAGAGAGGGAAATTAAATATCGCAATTCGATGATGGTTTATCAAAATCAAAAAGTGTAGATTAAAGAACGTGGTATCGCTTGTATTAATTCTTTATATGTTTCCATTTATTGAACTTTGTTCTTCATTGTTTCCTTAAATTTGGAAAGAACCGGATCCTACTCTCACTTCAAACCAATTTCCATTGGCGAGAACAAAAGTGGAATTTTTTGCCAGCCAGAATGGTAGCTATCATAGCAATGCTGATGTAGGGCAAAGTAAAGGACTGCTGTTAGATCCACAATGTGTTCAACACTGAAGCAAAATTTGCTATCATTCCGGATTGCTTGTGTTATTTTCCTGTTTGTGTCCTAGTTAACCTAGTTGTTTTTAGTATAAAAGATGCAACAGCAGCTCTAACCCTTTCTTGGTCTCCCTGATTCTATATTCTATTTGGTATTCAAGTAATGAGAGATATGCCGAGGTTCATTTACAAGCGCGAGGTATAGGCAATATTTCTTCCAATTTTGGATAGGCTTGCACCTCAAGCAAGTGACTCATGTGAAAGCCTAGCCAATGCCTCTTTTGTAATTGGCCTACCAACTGTCTACAGAATCCAAAAGGTGCTAATTCCAGGCATTTGGTCTGGTCAGCAATGGTGAGGCAACATAAATTAACCCATTGTCTCTCAGAAGTAAGGCAAAAAGATTTAAGCTGCTTACTAAAATGTTTCAGACAGGTCATGACTTGGAATATTTGGTTCTGGGAACAAACAATGCAGTTATAAGGCAGCCAGTTCAGCCAAGATGGACTAGACCCAATAAACATGGATATTTAGATCTCATTACCTTGGCTGAACTAATATTTGGCAGAATAGTTATCTGAAACAACACTCAACCTAAGAACTTCGGAGCAAGTGGCACACACCTCCAATTGGAGTGATTATTATTCCAGCAATATGTGGGAATGCCAGCAACATCTTAGTTTCAGGTGGAGCTGGTTAAATGAGCATTCGTTAAAACAATATCTTGGTCTGCTGAGTATGAACGTCGATCTTCACAGTCAACAGAGTACTCGAACTTTTTTGATAAAAATCATTCCACCAACCATGTTTCTTCTCCATGTATTGCGGATGGTGATTTCTGAGACTTGGAACACTGATATCCTGGCATACTATACGGAGTTTCACCTAAGACCTCAATATACTAAAGCTTAGACTTATAGTTATGGCTGTCATTATACAAATTCTCCCCCTAAACTCGCTAAAAACACCAGGTCAACAAGTATCAATAGCAACCAAAGAAGGCTTACTCATGGTTCAGCTCTACCAAACGTGGAGAAAACTTTCACTGCGGTATTCCAGTTAAATAATAATAATAGTGTAATTGAAAGAATGGAACGAAACAGCGTTCATGATAAGTAGTAGAAGCTGTTTGATTTAACAAAAGTTTGGACACCACAACATAATAGAACACTGTAACTCTATATCACTAACAAAACAATTATATAATCAGAACACTTCTAATGGCCAGCTTGTACTGAACTGAAAAATATAAAGGACATAAAGAGCCCCTTTCAACTGAAACATTAATGCATTTACAACTACGTCTTTACTTCTTGAAATCACAATCGACCTAATAAAAACATTACATCTGTTAGTTCAGCCAAAAGGAGCTCGTAGCTAGCTTTATCTTTCCGTGTGAATGTCATTTCAGGTACTTCACCAAATCAGCTTGATAGTTGCCAAACCAGATTGATCAATAGAAACACAAAGGGTGTCCACGTTGAAATCATAAATACAATACTCTAGAGTCATGTTTACACAAGTTCAACCATTTGAAACGAGTTTCGATTTTTAAAAAAATATATATTAATAATACCTAATATAAAACTGTAGGAAGATATTGTTTATAGCAGTAATATGCTACATAATATTGTAAATGAATTTTCTATTAGACGATGTAATCAAACTTTATTTTTTATATTCATTTTTGAGATTAAAATTTTTATACTGATCTAAAGGTTTTAGCTGTTACTACCATAACTTGAATTACTGCTTGCTGAGTACCATAACTTGAATTACTGCTTGCTGAGAGAAGCTAACAAAACGTAATAAGCATTCCTTTTTGCATTACAAAATGTAGATGAATTTTATTGCAATTAAATTTATTTAGTGTTAATTCTAGATGTTTAAAAATTAATTCATTCCTTTATAAAAAAAAATCCTGAACTTGAGTTGTTGATCACCAACAGAGCGTTGATTACGTTACAACTGTAAGCAAATTCTCCTTTTTGTGGGGTTTGAGACCCCAATGATTTTTATCCTCACCCTATATTACAAGTTATGCATATAATGTCATAAAATAAGTCTCACTTTGTCAAATATAACTGCTTCTCAAAGTAACGTGACTGGTAACCTCATATGAATCATCTTTAACTTTTCATTCTTATATGGTTTGTTTAATATTGATTTATTATTCCTGCAAATATCACAAAAGAGAAGAACCAGCAATAAAAAAACAGTAATATATTTATTTTAATCAATATACTATTCAAAGAACGTCGTGTAGTTTGCAATTATGTTTCTGTGTTGAATATTTAGTGGCTTCTTAATAATCACACTAATTTAAGTTTGTATTTTGTTTACTTAAATCCAATGTGTGTGGAAAATGTGAGTAAAAACAATCAAAAATCACTTTCATTAGTAGCACTATTTTTTTACAATATTTCACTAATGATGAAACTTTGGCTTGGATTTAAGAGGCTAGGCGTAGTCTGAACAACTACTTCTCTACAGAATTACTTATAAATAAACACCCTTTAAAATATTTACAGAATGACATTCTAAACACAATTTCAAAGTAAAAAGAAGCTGAGAAGACAATGTAATAGTGCTTTGTTCCCTCAACGGAATGGAATCACAGTAAAAAAATACAAAAAGACTGCCGTGATACGATAAAAAATAACAAAATCTATCTGTGTGATTACCGGATTTAAAGTCAGAAAACCATTGTTTTCTTTAACGTAGAGCATAAGCCTTTCTCTCTTCATTGAGCACTCTATCATGGTCTTATTCTCATTCAAACAAGCCAAGGTAGAAGAAAATCCTGATCATTTCTCATTTGTAAGCTGGGATCGAGCCAATGGTCAGTAATCAACCTAACAATTGATTTTTATGCTGGCAGTTTATGCCACAACATCAGTATTTCTCTCTTATAAAAAGAAGTCATCGTTGACTTATTCTATCTCGCTCACACTAGCTCAGTATAAATCAGAAAGTCTGACGTAGAGTAAGAGTTTAGCTTTTTAAATTAGGAGCTACAATAATAACAACATATCAAATAGAGCTCCCTCAAATTAGATGCTACTAAGCAAATACATATATGCTAATTAATTGCTCGGTGTTATCTAGTATTGACTTAAGTAAGATAAACACTATTTACCTAAACTGCTACAATAATGCTACTTCTAACTCAAGCAATTGTAGGAGTTCTTACCATACAAATGGGCGAGTCGTATAATCTTGTGGAATCTCTTTACACTTATCAACTACATTTTTTTACTCATAAATATCGTAATACTTTTTGCTACAACAATCAATAATAACCAATGGTAATCAATTGTTCACCAGATTTATCGTCCACATTTCGCATTCTATTATTATCGTAATACTTTTTACTACAACAATCAATAATAACCAATGGTAATCAATTGTTCACCAGATTTATCGTCCACATTTCGCATTCTATTATTATCGTAATACTTTTTACTACAATAATCAATAATAACCAATGGTAATCAATTGTTCACCAGATTTATCGTCCACATTTTGCATTCTATTATTGAAATATTATATTAAGCCTTTTTATCATTCATATGTTTCTGCTTGACTATAATAAAACTGTACAAGATTTTTTACAGTCAACCAATACTGTAGCGAGACTATATCACACCTGGAATTAAGAATAGTTCGTAACTATCCGATTAGTCACCTGTAATACTTCTGTTCAGTCTATTGTGTTTTTAACAGCTCAGTCACCAAGAGCATTTACAGTTCAAACTGGAGTAATCCTTAACCAGTCAGTTACCTGTGGCACTTCTGTTCAGTCTATTGTGTTTTTAACAGCTCAGTCACCAAGAGCATTTACAGTTCAAACTGGAGTAACCCTTAACCAGTCAGTTACCTGTGGCACTTCTGTTCAGTTTATTGTGTTTTTAACAGCTCAGTCACCAAGAGCATTTACAGTTCAAACTGGAGTAATCCTTAACCAGTCAGTTACCTGTGGCACTTCTGTTCAGTCTATTGTGTTTTTAACAACTCAGTCACCGAGAGTAGTTACTGTTCAAGCTGGAGTAAATTAGAAATACAGACACTGTTCATATTGATATCATCTATAAAAGTGACGAACTCTAGGGTCATATTTACAAAAGTCCAGTACCAGACATGCCATTTGGAGATAGAATATCAGGCAAGGTTACTAGAAGATTCATAAATGAAGTCACCATAAGCGACCAATCAGACGTTTAATTTTCAATACACCTCACATCGATCATCTGTGGTTGGTAATGTCTGACCCAACTTTTCAGTCAGTTTTTGTCGGTGTTTTTGATGTGTATCTACCTTTAATGATTTGTGTGGTTGATATTTAGAAAACTAGATATTCTATAAAGAACGAGTCACGTGTTTACTGTTTAAATCTTTTCAATCTGCTTAAACTGTTACCTTAAACCATTCAGAGCTAATCCTATAATTATCCTGTGATAATTAAATAACGTAATTCAAATAAAAAAATACAGTTGTGCGAATAACTTCTAACCTCCTGAAGCGTAAAAACTAACCTAAAATGGGTTATAGTTTATTTTAGAAAGGATAGCTTCACAATTCAAAATACAAAGCACTTTCAAGTCTCTAAACGGCACAGATGAAATGGAGCTACGATTGGATTTTATTGTCTTTTATTGGTGCCATTAGGATCTTTTAGCTGATTATTCTATCAAAATATTGCCTAATGGTTTTAATCAGAGAGTTGTACAATGAAAGTATATATACATATAAGAAATAGTAATTAACTTTAGAAAAGAACAAAATTATTTTTGGTTTGGAAAAGCTTTTGTATCATTAACTATTGTTGATTTACGATGAAACCAATAACCACAAAGACTATCTTTCAGGACGAAGATATGATGAAGTCTCTTAACTTATTGGACACAATCCTATGACCAGCGAAAACGAGATCAAAAAGGAGAGTAATCGATGACTCTTATGGAAAAGAAAAATCCCTGAACTTCGTGCCATATGTGGTTAGATTTCAAAACAAAGTGTGCCAAGGTTTCCAAGTTCTTTACTTCCATTTTATTTTTCTGTGATGAAGTCGTATGAGTTATGTTTGCTTTCAAAGCTATATCTTAGCAGAAAGTATTGTGACATATCAATTTTAGGAAAAACAAATTGGAATAACCAGTATATATCAGTTTGTTTCTCATGAAATATTTGATTAATATTTGTATCACAACTTATAGTACTTCTCACTATTTTAAAGACTATTTTTAGCCATTCGTCCAGTGGTAATTTTGCTTGTTAAGTCTAAGGTAAGCTTTATCAGAATATAGTTTATTTAAAACTGCTTCATTTGTAATATAACGAGAGGGTTGATCTCCGACAAAAAGGGATCTATGCTTTTATTTTTAAGGTAAATATAAATGTTTCCTTTATTAACAATTCTAAGACCAAGAATAGATTTTGAAATTGTTGTCTTTATTACGTTATTTTGCTTATATTAGTATTGATTGACTGCTATCAAATAAAAAAGAAACACTTCCAAAAATAAGCAACTTTTTCACAACTTCTTTTAAAAACCATTTACGAACAGTATTTCTAACAATATTTTATTAAGACAATATATTTAAAAATTTTTAACTAAGCCTCCTTTAACTGACGATTTTTTATGACCAGTTTATTTTTTTTTTCATCGACGCTATCTTATTCTCGCAAACGCACAAACGATTTAAAATCAAATTATTATACTGTACACATAAGCGTTTAGTTTAAAAGAAAATTTATCTCTTGTTTCACATAATATTGCTTTTCGAGAATTGTACCGGGTGATCCAAAAGTTAGTTGTCCTACAGCTTTTCTGTGAGGATAACATGTAACTTGCTGCACCGAAACCTGTTGTTACTTTGTTAGTCTGTTGATATTCAGTTCCAATATATTCGCAGAGTAATCAGAAACAGATGACAATTTGAAATAATTAATATATTAGTCTGGGGCAGCTAGCTTTTGAATCACCCTCTGTTGTATTATCTCAAATCGATTTCTGGTTAAAGTATTATACAGGGTGAATCAAAACTCCTGATTTTTGTTATTGTTCTGAAATAGGTGTGGAATATCTGAAATCGACTGATTTAGAGTTTGTTTTGGCATATTGTGGACCATTTGTTACCTGAAATGATGTCATGATATAAAAGCCAAATCAAATTCCATTTCTGAGACTATCAATTTCAAATGTTTCCATACAAAAGTTGTAGCACACAACTATATTACCCCAGAAATGTTTCCTTGTGGGTTTCGTATAAGTTTGCATAATTTTTAAATAAAACAATATTTCACTTTAATAAAGAGTGAGCAATAAAACTGTGTACATTTAACGTCTACCAACTCCCTTTTACTGTATATTTCTGTACCCAATTTACCCACCCTGGCCATCATCGTGCACTTAAACTGCTCTAAAATATTCCTCACGACCCAGAAAACAATGATACACAGAACATGACATGGTGAATATACTGAAATGGTGATACTTTATATATATAATGCTAATGGAATGCTGTAGTAGTAGTAAGAATGTTTGCAGCAAAAACTCCTGGGCAGCGACACCCAGGTTCATCCACAATATTATAGATTGTTCGCTGTCTCTAAGAAACAGGTTTTATCAAACCAAGACAACAGCGAGGTCTGTCACGAGTAACTACAGATATTGACAATGTTGCGGCAGTATTTGCTTCAGTTGTTTAAAATTAGCACTAAAAATATTGTTTTAGAAACTGGCCGTGGCAAAAGATCAGTTGTACATTTATTGCATTACCAGAAGTTTCATCCGGACCATGTACACTGCCAACAAGATCTTGAAGAGCGAAACTATAACTGAGGACTTTTGTAATTGGCTCCTTATAACTAAGGACTTTTGTAATTGGCTCCTTATAACTGAGGACTTTTGTAATTGGCTCCTTATAATGAGGACTTTTGTAATTGGCTCCTTATAACTGCGGACTTTTGTAATTGGCTCCTTATAACTGAGGACTTTTGTAATTGGCTCCTTATAATGTTGGATGAGGATCCATAGTTTTTATCGCGCATTATGTGGTCCAACGATGCACATTTCTCGTGAGATGGTGTGTCCAAAACCTATACTTCAAACTACTCGGTATTGGACAATTCACATTGGCTGCAGCGATACTAAAATCAATTACAATGGCATCTACTTACATCTACTGTGATCACATAGTTGAACCAGTTTTCTATAACAGGACACTAGCTGGGGATCCTTTCTTAAAGCTGATTTTAAAAGGTGTTGTGTCTAAAGTTGTTGATGATTTACCTATAGCTTCTTACTAGATGATGTCATTTCATCTTGCATCCCCCCATTTTGTTGCCCGTGCCTTCAACTAGTTAAATGAAGTTTTCCCGGGGCAATTTATTGGAAGAGCTACCCTTATGCTTTAATCATCGGATTTTTTCCTGTTGGTTCACATTAAAGAATAGGTGTATGTCAGACCAACGAAGAACTAAATGGCGTAGCATATGCAAAAATTACCATGGAACTCTTTCCAAAGGCTCAACAATCCATAAGCCATTGTACACAAGTATTTATTTCTATAGAAATTCTATACATTGAGCGTTTGTTGCAAATTGAAGTGATTTGTCAGACATGCATACTGTATCTTTAATATTATTTCCTGATGAACTCGGAGGAGCAAATTTATACAAACAAGGACATTTTTTACAGTAATATCGTTGTGTTCTACAATTCTGTTACGGACATCTTTTACTTAGACTGATTGTTTCGAAGATAACATTTGGATGACCTTGAATTAACATTAATATTATGACGTCATATCAGGTATCAATCGGCTCCGAATGTGCCTAAATACCCGTATGTCAGTATATTTTCGATATCATACAACTACTTCACATTAGGAACCACCCAGTATGAACATCCCTTACCATCAGCTAATTGACTCTCACTTTAAAAGAAATGAAAAACAAAAAAATATATATAAAAAAATATATTAGCCACAAATACAGTTTACCGGTAAGCAACATATATATTTTCAATATGATCGTATTTACAATGGTTTCATTAAGTACATTTTAAAACTGCTCCCTTAATAAACAACTCTCGGAATTGTGTCCGTAATTTTAAAACTAATTCATTTTACAATAGGAGAAAAATTATCATTACTGTAACTAAGAGACACTACAACAGAAAAAGTGCTAGAAATCTATATGACATTGTGATTTTTCTATAATATTGAGAGACTCTTCTTGCTAGTTAAAATTGTAGAAGTTAGCTGGGTTATACCGTAGAGAGGAAACAGATAGAAATCATGTTTACCTGTTTGGAAACAGTGTACTTCATTTAGATTAAAGCTACTTCTTATGAAACCGGTTTGGTTATACCGTAGAGAGGAAACAGATATAAATCATGTTTGTCCGTTGGGAAACAGTGTACTTCATTTAGATTAAAGCTACTTCTTATGAAACCGGTTTGGTTATACCGTAGAGAAGAAACAGATATAAATCATGTTTGTCCGTTGGGAAACAGTGTACTTCATTTAGATTAAAGTTACTCCTTATGAAACCGATTTGGTTATACCGTAGAGAGGAAACAGATATAAATCATGTTTGTCCGTTGGGAAACAGTGTACTTCATTTAGATTAAAGCTACTTCTTATGAAACCGGTTTGGTTAAACCGTAGAGAAGAAACAGATATAAATCATGTTTGTCCGTTGGGAAACAGTGTACTTCATTTAGATTAAAACTACTCCTTATGAAACTGGTTTGGTTAAACCGTAGAGATGAAACAGATATAAATCATGTTTGCCTGTTTGGGAACAGTGTACTTCATTTACATTACATGTGCTCCTTATGAAACCGGTTTGGTTATACCGTAGAGAGGAAACAGATATAAATCATGTTTGCTTGTTTGGAAACAGTGTATTTCTTTTAGACTGAGCCCATTTGGTTATATTGTAAGAGAGGAAAAGAGACATAAATCATATTCATCTATTTCGTTTTAACACTAACTTGCATAAATGATTATTTTATACCTTGTTTCCATTGGAATTTAAGCGAAACAATTTTATCAATGTAACAAGGTTGAACTCTGATTTTAAATTTATAAAGATGCAAGGAACTTCAATTATGTTTCTACGCAGGATTTACAGAAAAGCGTATATTTATATCATAACCATGTTTAGTTATAAACGAATCATGAGCTGAACAGAAAACTTAAACTCAGATCAAGTTGTAGTAAAGAAGAAAAATGTTTTAAAGATATATATATATATATATATATAATGTAGATTCTATTGATATACGCATCTTTGTGCTCTGATTTAGCGAAAGAGGATCTGAGGTTGTCCATTTTCGCAATTGTATTTAGCCCTCTCGTTTTGCTCAAGTTATTTTGGCAATGTGTATAAACAAAATCCACCTTGGACCTGGCGTGTTCTTATACTTAAAGCGCTGAACTTGCATTCTGTATGTTCGAATCTTGATATTAACCATGCCCACTCTGTCAGCTGAGGGGGCGTCATAATGTGATGATCAATTCTACTTTTCTTTGGTAAAAAAGTAGCCGAGGAGTTGGTAGTGGGTGGTACGGGATAGCTACTTTCTCTCTCTAGTCTATAGCTTCTAAATTAGAGATAGCTATCGCTAATAACGCTCTAGTATCTTTGCGCGAAATTCAACAAAAATAAACAAATCCACACAATGAACAAAAAAAGCTGTACTTTTTTAACTAAACTGTTTTAACTTTTATCAGGATTCTTTTGCAAAAGCCTAGTCTTTCTTTGGAGCTAACAATGCTTAACTCTAAAAATTTGTGTTAATTTTGATTGAAAACCCAGGCCACACTCAAACTTTGGTCGAATAAAACAATATTTTGTACGTGATGGAGATTAATAGCGTAATCATTACTGTCGTTTACGTCTATTAATATTCATTAAAATAAATA